TTATTTCACAAGTTCAAAAAAACTGACAGAATTAAAATATTAATTCTTCTTTATCTGTCATCTGTCATCTTGGCAGAGTTGCCAACACTTAGTAAGGCTTAAATTATATTTTGACTATACTAGAGAAGTATTGGGTCTCATAAAAGTAGTACTTTTAAAAAAATAACAATTAGAAAAGATTCTAAATTGCATCAATTTCTGCAGATAAAGTATTGTGAAGTGTTCTAAGAACTGAGAGAAAGTATTATATTACTGTACTCTTTGATATCATACTATGTATATATATAATATCACTATGCATTCTCAAGAGATTATATTGTTTTTCGTGCATTGATTCTCAATCCATTATTTCTGATACGAAAAGAAACCTGTATAATGTTTATTATATGTGGATACAAAAAACCGTCATTTTCTGTCTATTTATGTATATATGCTAATGTATCACATGAGTAGATTACCATCCATTTTCTTGTATTGCCCCTATTCACAGAACAGAGTTTTCAAGTCCTATTTGTATAGTATATGCACTTAAGATTTCAGATTCTAAAGATAAGCGTAGAATTTAAGGTTATTACTCTTTCTACTAGTAAGTTCACATTTTTATTATTTTTTATTAATTATTATTTATTATTTTAATGTTTTAAATATATAAGTATGTTTGCTTATTTAGTTTGTTTTTGAACTAAGAATAAATAATATATTTATTTAAAATAAATAATGAATGCATTATTTACACCGACTGACACTGATAATCTTTTAAAATTCAATAAATACTTGCTTATCTCTTTTTTCATACAAAGTCATTAAATCTCATACTAAGTAAGTATAGGTCAGACCTTAGCCTATGTTCTTCAACACAGTGCAGAGTGTATTGCGGTTTTAAAATTTCATGGGTTTTTATTTTAATCAGAAATCTTTCGTCAGACTTGCATAAATATTATACATGAATATTTGAGGTTTCCATTATGTTTTCCGTCATGCAAATAAGGAAAATATGTTGACAAAAATCTTAAAAATGTCGTAAATCTATAAAAAAAAATAAATAAATTTTTGGGACATGACATGACAAGTGTTGCAGTTCGTAGAACCACTTCAAGCCTACAACCGACAAGCATTCACCGAAAACTGCAAGTCATTTCGCTCACTTTGGCGACTTGATTGTGTGCTTCTGGTATTGAAACTGGTTTGACATGTCCGCAGCTCTACTCCAATATCAAAATTTTAATTCAAAGTCATTTACTTAGAGAAACACGTAGACTGCACAGCTTTTATGGCACGAACTAATGAGATCTGTGGTTGGTTGACCGAAATGTTTCGGTTTTGTTGTAGGTCAAGTAATTTGATCGAAATCGGTGCTAACAGCTGTGCGCAGTTAAGGTCTTTGCACTTTCAGTTTTATGTTGTGGAAAAAATTATGCTGCTTGGCTGGGCTGATATTTTCCATTTCTTTATGAGCTTTCTAAGAAACCGGCAAAACTGTGAAGATATAATGAAACAATAATAAAATTAATGTGTAATAAAACACCTTAAATATAGCAATGAAGGTATTAGTCATCAGAAACGACCGGGAGAGCTGTAAATTGTACACATTTTGTATGAAAGTAAAAAAAGCCTTAGTTGAGCACTTGTTTTGTATTTCGTATAGAGTAAAACGGGTTTTCAGATAAGTCTACGAAACTGAAATATTACCGTCATTCCGTATTTCGCAGAGCAGTGGTACAACATCTGCTCTAAATACATGTGGAATGATCTTTGATGAACGTCAACAACTTTTAATATGTTTAAATTGATTTAATTTGTTAAAAATTAAAATTAATTAATTTGTTGTGAGTGACAAGTGATATGCACTGAAGGCATCGTTTTAATAATATATTAAACAGCTGTTAAAAATAATATAAAATGTTAATTGTACTCATCACTACCTCATAAAAACACTCATCATAGTCTATAGTAAATATTCAATTCAAACCGTCCTTGTACGGGCAAGTACTGTGCTCCATGGTATTGTTTATCTTTTATGAAGAACGATTATGTTTTATGTTTTTCATTATATATATTTTTTTATTAAAGCTGTTGATGTTATATTATTTGCTGTTTAAAACTGAAATTTGGTTCAAGTACATTCAATGTAAAGACAGTTTATGAGTTACTTCGACTTCAAGTGAATCTGTTTTGACCACTTATTGGTTTTTGTTGAATTAAATATGAAAAAAAAACACTATAATCAAATGTACTGTGTTCAAAGTGAAAGGGAATAAATAAAATTCTGATCACATCATCAAAAATTGAAACTTAAAATGATGCAAACGTTTATAATCTACCTATATAGTAACTAGATTATCTAGTACTAGTCATTTAGATTACTATCTAGATTACTAGACATTGCCGTAACTCAAGAAAATCGATTAAGTGCAAGAAGCAAAACTATCATTTCTGCTTGAGAGAGCTAATACATGACCTAAACATCTCGCACCAAGCAAGAATGCTTTATGCCACTGCTCCAAGAAAGGCGGTAATTTAAAAATATCGATAAAGTTAAAGAAGATAAACGGTTGTTTAAGCTTAAGAGAGCTGCCACACGACCTAAGCAGTACTGACCAAGCAAGTCTGCCTCATGCTGGGCTCTAAAAATGGCAGTAACTACGAAAGATCAATTATTAATGTCATAGTAATAGCTTTATGAATTATTATGATTAAGTTTTAGACTTTAATGGACTACAAGTATTTAGTCAATTCAGGAATTGATTAACTCAGGACGTTAAGGAGTTAGTTAGTCAAGTAGACTGACTGCTACAGCAACCTAACTAACTTTAAGCTTGAGAGAGCTAGCATAGGAATTAACATCTCTCACCAATCTATTTATACAATTTAACTCGACGTTTTGGACATTCAATCAAAGCAAAGCAATAGAACTTGTATTACAGACAAAAGTATTATTAATTTTAACAAAAATATGTCGAAAGTCAGTTGTTAGGGACATGTTTTTTTATCCCACTGTCATGCAATATGTCATAACTAATGCTGAAACATAGGTATATAAATACAGCATCCAAATAAGTCAACAAAAGATGAGTCGAAATCAAAAATACTACTTCACTGTCGTTCTTCAAGGTTTTCTTAACCTGTCGTTATATTATATTGTTATCGTTATATTCTGAACTAAAAGAGTGACTAAACAAGATTATTAAGGCTTTATTAAACATTTGCACGAAAATATTTATTAGTCGCAAAATGGTAGATTTATGAAGAAGCAGTATTCTAATTTTGTTATAGTCAATGAAAGGTAGGTCGGGTTGGAGCAGCATAACCGGTAGTGATACTACGGAATTGTCAATAAATGTTGAAACAAAAATTTAACAAATATCATTGGGACTAATTTTTATGTTCTTAAAGCAGAAATTATGATTACGTAGAACCCATGTAAGTCCTTTCAAGTCATTAAAGTAAGTTCGCATCCCGCGAAGATTATTCTAAAATCTGCTTATAATAAGTGCATGGATAAGCGTACTAATCACTGACAATACAAAATTCGGTTTCCATACTCATGTATCCATACTCATGTATCATTAACTTTTTAGAACAAGTATTGACTTAATTCAAAATCCATTCCTATATTTTATAAATTTAGTTGTACTAAATAAATTAAGTTCAAATGGCTATTTAACTAAACCATGAAATGTCCTTGCTCTGTCCTAACTAATTAAATGAACAAGTAAATGTATTGTACAATGATTACATATTCGTTTTCGTCTATAGCCGATATGTAGGGGTACAGCTCACCTAGTATACGTCGCCCATATATTTGACTACTCCTAGCTGTAGGAGTATCGATTGGACGGTCATGAGATTTAATCTAAAACTAGTATAAATAACGTATTTCAAAAAAGATTTTATTTAAAACTAAAGCATTTTCCGATAAAGTAGAAAATCGAAAAATTTGTGTAAACCTTAATTTTTGACGGATTTCTATAGAGTAATTACTTTTTTTTTCATATTCCTAAAACTAAAACTTCTTGGTCCAGAATAGAGATATCTAAACCCAAAATATCTATAGTCATTTTAAATCTTTTTACTTCACTTTGAAAACTTCTTGTAATATCACAAAGGATCTATTTCTTAAGGCTAAAATATATCATTTTTTGATAACACAGATTGCTATTAAATCTATAAATTTAGCAGATGCACTAACTGACTGTTATTATCTTAATAAAATCTGTTTTCCGTTTCAGATGGAGTTACTTTTTAGGGACTCCATAATGTTTTTATTTTAATGTATATGAAGCATTCCAAATGTTGCATATTGTTTAGAAAAGATTTCCTCCAACTTAACTTCTCTGGAGTATGTCAAAATCTTTAATTATATATTGCTGTAAACACCGCATAATATCGTTTTACTCGATTTCTAAGAAAAGCTGCACAAAACTACTATTTATATATACCATCGAAACTAAAGGTGTGGATTTGAGTGCTAATATTCTGCCAAAACAGACAATTAATATTAATTACATATTAAAAAAGATTTAATATTGAACCGATAAGTAGTCCATATATTCAATTGTTGTAATAATAGCTGCGATCATTAATTAACTACAGATGTTTTAATGTCAAATGTGGATTGCTATTATTTAGAGAACTAAACAGGCCTAACATATTATACATGTTCTTCGAAATAGTACCATTTCATCAATTCCATATTTGTTGAAAAAATATTTTTAAAAATATGGGACAATAGCGGTATATCTGAAATGTGGATATGTGTTAAGAGTTGATGAAAGTCAACATTAAAGATCATATAAAACACAAACCTCCCCCTGAATCTCTTTTCAGTGTTTTAAAAAATCAAACAAGCTCTTTACTAGAAGGCAGATATACTGACCTCCATATAAAGCACATACATAACACACCCAATCCATACACATAATAAAATACAATGAATCATCCTTAATAAGTATCATTATGATCATCAAAAATGATGTGAAAATGGTTTTTATTGCACTTACCCGACTCATATTAAACTTCGGCATTGAAGGATATTTGGGACATCTGCCGAAACCATATCCATACACAGACTCCATGAGCAAGAATAAAAATGCTATAGAAAGTATATTTCCACAGATTCGCTGCGTTCTCCACAAAACTTTCAACATATTTTAGGCTTTATCATACATATATCAACTTTATTACATATATAAAATTAAAAGAAATTCACATTATTTTTAGTAAAAATTAAATAAATTTATTTAAAAATTTCAAATTTTCAGTTGCCAGACATAATTTAAATTTTTGGTTTTTTTTTTTGGAAACAACCGATTTTTTTTTTAATTTATCGCCGCGTACTTAAAATTCTTCACTGCATTTCAATATTCCACTTTTTGTAATTCAATTGACTTAAAATTTCGTAATTTATTTAAAGTTTAATGAGTGAAATGTTTTTATAACTGTAAAGTGGTTTAAGTATCTTTTGTTTCTGTTTTCATTCCGGCTAATTTTATTCACATTATGCAACCGGGCACTGCAAAATGCAACCAGTTTGCAAACATAAAATGTAGTGAAAAAAACCACAAAATATAAGCAAATCAGCTAAGGCATGGCTTGCAGTTGTTAAAATAGACCAAGCAATTTTTTTTCAGTTATCCAAGCAGGTTTGTAGTCTTTGATGGAAATAGTAGGCACCAAATAGTAGTGTCAATTCAACACTATCAATGCAAACACCCAAGGCCGATAGCGATTTGTGGAGTTTTCCTACGTATAGGGAATGTGTGACAGATCTTCTAGGGGCTTAGGTTTCAGTAAATATTCTGATAGTGAAATAATAGTTAAATATATTATAGTGATCATACATCTTTTTTCGATCCTACTCATCTAGCTATATGGCAATATTTACTAAAACAATTTTTATATTCGCTTATTTGTGACATGATATATCGAAACCACTTGAACAAAGATTAAAAGTTAAAGTATTAGAATCTCAGACCAGTTTTAGTGACTATACAAATAACTTACTTAAACCCAGTAGCAATAGATAGTGATGGAACCTGGAAAATAAACCGGAGGAAATAGTGAACTAAAACTTTTCTTCAATAATCATAAAATTTCTTGAAATGTTTTTAATAAATGAAATTTCAAATCAGACCTAATTTCTTAACCAGATTTAGTGAGCATAAAATAGTTTTGTTCAATTTAGGCTGAGGGAACTAATCAAATAAAACATTTTCAAAAATAATTAAAATTTTTTGAAGAAACTAGATTTCAATCTCAGATCTAAATACATAGACTACATTTTGTATGATCAGATAAACAATATTATTTTTCCAATCGGGGAAATCTTGTTTAAATTCCTGCTTCTCCATCCTTGTGGTAAACGAGCTGTTAAAATTGCGCAAAAGTTTTCCCGCACACATTTAGAGTAGGTATCATCGCATAGCCCCAACTTTTATTATAATATAAATTCTTAACTTTTGAATAAAGTATTAGTGTTGCTGTAAAGCTAGACTTACTTTGTATAGTGACAAAGAAAATTATTCGAAAACCCCTATAAATTCTTAACCATACAATCAGGTCTTATATCAGAAGAACAGATCTTCATCATATTGTAGTAATACGTCGTTTTACTTCTTTCTTAAAGTTAAATGGTAAATTTTATATCAGTGTTATAACTAATTCAACTTAATTTGAAGGGCCCCAAAAGCACCTCAGTGGTCAGCATATAAACAACGCTTAAAGCTACGACTTACACTTGTCGAACTTCATTATTACATTTTTGTATGAATTTTATATAAAATATAATAATAATTGCTAATCATTGATTAAGTTAATTTCACTAGTGTGAACGTACTGTTATATCAACTATAATCTTTTTTAGGAAAAACATTTTCACTCTTTTAAACTGTAATAAAAGCTGAACAATCTTAATAAACTTTAATCATTTAAAAATTAATTAAATTTGAATGAAACTAAATATTTTAGCGCAAAATATTTACAAATTTGTATAACAAAAGACATATTGTAACCGGAAACTATATTCGTAAGAATAAATTAAAAACCTTGTATAAACTAAACTCGGAACTGTAAGTAAAAAACTTACATAAAATTGAAATATATATATTAACATATATTCGTTAAGAAACCTTGAAGAAATTCAACCAATGACAATTCAACAGATGTCAAGAAATAAATATAAGAGGTTATGCCAATTATTAGATACTGTAACCAAATAGGTTACGGAATATTTTTTAAATACGTCTATTGATTGTAAATGGGAAACAATTTCCTGGAATCTTTAATGCTTCTTCTCAGAAGTGCTTGGGCTCCGGCTTATTATTCAAAAATTGTCTCTAATTTTGCTTCTCTATATATTGACTGTGTACTGACTATAACTACCGAATGTAGCGTATAACTAATGAACTACTTAATAAGGAAACAATAATTTAACAATATACAAAGTGGAAATTGTTTAAATAATGGTTTCAGTTATGTCGCATTCCAAGTTCAAGTGAAAATCGTATGGCTCCATGCAAATTTCTTTTGCTTCAACCGCGGTAACAATGGATCGCAAGAAAAAAATCAGGAAGAATTGGTGGCTTTGTGGTAAATGAGTCCATTTCGCCATTTCGCAATATTGGCTATTTCAGTTTTGCTTCATTGAATTTGTTTACTGTTAATTGACAAATTTTTAAAAGAAGTAATAAAAAAAATTTCACTTATTTTTTAAGTGCAAATCAACATTTGAAATGTTATTTACAATTTTTACACAATAACGAAATTTAATAAAATATTCAACGTTTCAGATACTCGTATTACTAGGCGTTCATATTAATTATTAAATATTTAACTTAAAGCAACACTCACTTAAAGCTAATGAATTAATTATTTAATATCTTGGCGTTTAACTTGCAATTAATTATATTAACTGAAATAAGTTTTTATCCGCGATAAGACGAACACACCCACTTACGACCGATCGCTGAGACTACCGTCACTTGACTGATTCGAACAAGTGAAGATGAAAAGCTGTTGGAACGCGATTGTTTGAAAACGGTTTGAACGCGTTCTTAAGAGAGTTTTATTTATAAAAGAGTATCGATTTTTATTTTAAGAGATGTATTAAATCCCTCTTAAATTTTCTATATATATTACTAAATGGACCATTAAAAGATTTGTAAAAACAATTTGCTTTAACCAATCCACACTTTCTAGATGATATATATTTTGTTAATATGATATTTATTGAAATTAATACAATTCTGCTAAGGCAAGTAAAAATGTAACATGCGTTTAAAATCATTGTTTACATGGCGGCTTTTATAGACAAAGGTTGAAGAGGTTCCAGGTTCTAGACCTACCAAGTAGAGTTTGGGAATAAATAAATTAAAGTAAAACGAATATAATATAAATGTTATATAAGTAAGTTCTCTTAGTATAATAGGTGGTCTAACTCAAATAACAGAGATCAACTATTTCTGTAATTAATTTATTTAAAATAATTTGCTTATTGTTAAATAAACAGATTGCAAATATAAAAAAAAATTAAATAAAATAAAAATGTACCCACTCTTTTTGAAGTGGGTTCCGCATTTGGTGACAACTGATCAAAAACAACAATGTGTCGATGATTTTGAAAGATGTTTGAAGCTGTTGAAGCGAGATATCACTTTTTGCGTAGATATATAACAGTAGTCGAAACTTAGACCCTTTACTCTGGAGTCTAATCTGCAGCAGAATAGTGAAGAGCAGATGGCGAACCTCGCCAAAATCGGCCAAAAATACAACAGACTGCTGGCAAGGTTTTGACTTCCGTGTTTTGGGATATGCACGAAATTTTATTCATTAACTACATTGAGAAACAGCCAATCCATCAAAAGCAAATACTAGATTGTCTAACTGGTGCTTTTAAAAAAGGGAATAATGAAAAAATGTTCCTATATGAAAAAAATGTTTTCTTTTACTAAGACAATGCGCTGTGTCAGAAGCATAGACCAAACTGCACGAACGGTAATCCTACTGACTAATCAGCCGCTGAGTTATTATATTTGTTATGTTTGATTAAAGAACAAAATTTCAACTCCCGCTTTAAATATATATATATTTATATATATATTAAATGTTGCGAAAATTATAACAATTATGGAAGTAATATTTCCACCGAGATTACACATAGGTAGCTTATAGGAAAGAGGAATTAACTCAAGCACAATTCATATAGCTCTTGAGTTATCTAAGTGATTGCTCAAAGAAGACAATCCAGTAAAAATTGTTTAGATTCATACCAACACTTAACTAAAGCTCAATTTTTTTTATCGAAATATAGCGATTTTGATATTAGAGATGTAATTGCTATTTCCCTTCGATATCTCTTATGCAGTAGTTTCATAACATCTGTATCTGAAATGTGTACTCAAAGAGTTCAGGTAGACCAGTTTATTTAAGATGTATACTACACATTGGTTATTATTTGACAGAAAAATTTGTATTTTTATGAATAACTATAACAGTTTAGAAACCTCTTTATAATAGGAAATACCCTTTACTTACGCTATATAACACTTACTAGCTCTAGAAAGCTTTAAAACAACTTATACTTTGTGCACGTACATTTTTTTTACCTTCAAGAATTTTCCATGTTCTCTTTTTCAAATTTTTTGAGTTTGGAGTTTGAGTTTCTGTACCAGGTGTTTAGTAAGGCACATGTTTAATGTTAATAAAGCCCGGTATTATCGATATTATCAAATCGTCTGTATATACAATTATCAGATTTCAGAAAAGAATTATTGTTTTAATAATAAGATCGTATACACGAATCCATATAATTTCGACATCGTGTCTGTAGTGATATTACTACAGTTAACCTGCTGTAGATCTTTTAAAGTACATATTATAATAAATTTAAACACTAAAAATGATAGATAATACATCTATCAGTGAATTCTGATTAAATACTGAACATATATGATACTTCTTGGTTTTCTATACTTTTTCTTACTTTTTTTTTTTAATTTTAGGCTTGACACCAAATGTTTTGAGAAGTTAGAACATATGTATTTGATATCATACCAGATTATAATGTCAAAAGATTGATTAAAATTTAAGAAGTGACAATATAGAGTTATAATAATTCTAGACACTTGTATCAATATGAGCAATTTTGAATTTACATATTAAGCCGTCAGTTGATTATTTTTTTAAGTAAGTATACTAATATTTAAAGATTAGAGCGATACTAAACTGCAGATTAATTTATGTAAATTCTTATTTATATAATAAATAAGACTACGTCTTAATTGGTTCTCTGCTTATTAAATGTTTTACTAATTTGGTTTCTGTCAGCGAAGTACTTCAGAAGGTTTCTCGTTATCTTGCACAGAACTAGTTGTTATTATAAAAGATATACATGTCAATTATGGACGTTACGTATCTAAAGGTGTGTCGTAGTATACAAAGCTGTTTTTTAATTCAAACCAGATATTTTATTGAAATATTTTTAAATATGTGCCCTATTTGGATCAATGCCAGTTAACGGCATTTTTCTGTGAATATTATAATATTTCATTAATAATATTGCTATTTATTTAATTGTATACAATAACTTTAGTTATAAAAGCTATAAAAATGAATATCATTAAATTTGATAAACTAATTACATATGTAATCTAATTTATTTAGAATATTTTAAAATTGTAGTGCATTGCTTAACATTATAACTGATTTTCAAATTAATTTCTAGAGAATTTCTAATTAAAATTAAAGTATGATATGCAAAACTAACTAGTATTTCTTGTTGAAATATAAAAGAGTTTTTATATATATTATTATATATTATATTTTATTAGTGATGAAGTATCTAGTACTAAAACAAAAATACTAATCAAAAACAACTGTATAACTAACACTATTATTGATTTGAATTTGATAAGGTTTAAGCTGTCATGCATCCTTATATATAGAGAAGGGTCTAAGTATGGAAAAAAATTCGATATGTAGTTACAATCGAAATTAATATTAACTATGTTACTATATATACACACTTATCAAGTAAATTCTACAATTTTTACAACAGATATTATAGTAAAACTGTATGCAAACAAGCTTGTCATAGTTAGAGATTTTGAAGTTTAAAAAAGCAGTGCTCCCTTAAGATCTAAAGAAGTAGTCTATATACCACTCAACCTCTTCTGAATCCACAAGTAGCATGGAATAGTTTATGCACCATCAAATCGATCGTCGCCGGAATGATGACTCCAATTCTTTCCTGAAAACGCTTTCGCATTACTGCAGGTAGAATCCCTTATAAATTAGCTATCCATACCAAATGCTTCTCGTAGAAGCCGCATCCAGGCCGGCACTCCTGATCCAAATTGGAAAGTCTTCAGATTGCTTTTCATTTTATATTAGTTTGTGCTCAGATCTTTCTTTTTTTCCCTTAGCATATTTTCTAGGAATTATGTGATTTTGTTCCAATTTTCAGCTCGTTTTGTCAGTTTTTCAATATTATTCTGGACTGTGTAGTGATCTACATATTCTGCAAATAGTGTTCTCTCTCCATGCCATTTTTTGTAGTTGAAGAAAGTATGCTAAGCATTGTCCTTGACTGATCCGCAGTAAATACAATTGCGCTGCTCTGCTTTTTACATTCTATATTAATTTTTTTTGGAAAATATCCATGACTAGATAAGAACTGTGTGACATATTAGCAATATCGCCGAAAAATCTTTCTGTCTACGACTTTATATTCGGAATTAGATGCTATCCATCTTCCTCTTAAATCGGAGTTCCATCAGAGTTGTTGCCAATCTCTATTCCCAGCGTTTTCTTTATAATATTCTTATAATTTTATTAATTTAAAAGTATTTTTATTAACTGGCAAATTTTTTAATATGACTAAAATACATAAAGCTACTAAATATTGCCATCCTAAGAGGCTTGCGGCCTAATACCATGGAGTCAATTTTGCCCAAAGGATACAATGGCTTATTTGAGGATAGAATAAGCATATTTTTTATATTTTTAATAAGCCCATTAAATAGATTTTAATATATAATATATATTTTAATATATATTTGCAAAAACATATAAGTACATATGGGGAAACTTAATTTTTTTTTATATTATTTTAGTCACAAAAATTTTTGATATTTACCGGGCTTAGGTCGTCCATTTAATATTTAAATTTGAATTATCTCAAATATGAATAATACGATCAGTTAGTAAAAGCACGTATTAATATAAAATACATTCTATATGTATGAGCAGTTCTAGTTAGAAAATAATAGTTGATAGCTGGAGAAATGGACCTCATTTGAAATCTCTAAGCCATTCAGAAAAATTGATGGATATCCTAACATTACTTTAGTTCGCTATTTTCAATACTCTTATACTTAAATAAAAAAAAAAAAAGAATATTTTACAATTATATAGTTTGTCTAGTTGTCGCAGTCTCGATAAAACTAGGCACACCCAGCATATGGTGCAAAGGGGCATTATTTAATCATTCAAAATATTCTTTACATCTAGTAATATTTACCATCTTATGTAAAAAAAATATTTTTCAATATTCTGCTATAATGTATAATGTAGTATAATGTAAATTGTATGGTAATTAGTTCTTAGCCAGCCGAAGACATCTGCAGTCATGGTTTAAAACTGCAACTGTGGTCGCAGCTGAATATGAAAAAGAAATATAATAATAATTATTATTCAAATTAGAATTAAAGACAAGATAATTCATTTCATTTATAGTTTAAACTTTACTATATAAAATGACAGAATATAATTAAGAAAATTAATGTATAATTTAATAGATGTTGGCTGTCAATAGTAAAGGAAATCGTTCCGATTTCGGTTTCGGCTACAAAAACTGCTGTAGAAATATTAAAAATATAAAAATATTTTGAATATACAGTACACATATATAATTATATTATACATATATTATATTAATAAAGTATATACAATATTTCTTTTCTCTATT